CTGCATGTTAATGAGGGGGAGACATGCAGTATTGAGGGGGAGCAACTTCATTGGACGATTTTGGGGTTGAACTGAGTGTATGTTTGACAAGGAACAATTTATAACTCTTGGATAACTTATTAGTTTCATATATGTCAGAAGTTCTAGGTATTGTAGATGCACTGGCAGATATGCATCTCACCCCTCTGGTAATCTGCGGCAATTTGCAAAGCTCCCCACTGAGAGGGAAGTTCACAAAAGCAAAATGTAAGACTTTGATGAGTAGAGGAAAGCTGACTCTTTCATTTGTCTTCCCCTTATTGCGAGTCAAACTATCCTTGCATCCTTAATCTCTGAGAAACTGTTAAGATGTCACATATTAGGTCCATGTCACTGTGATGATGTGCAGAGTTATTTGTGATTTTCAGTTTAGGTTTGTTAAAGATTTTTCAGATCAGACACCAGCCAATAAATATGCACGGACGACACTCCGGCTTTTCGTCTCATGGCGGTGTCTTGCCAATCAAAATGAGCTCCACAGATCTGACGACATGGAGCAGAGAAAATATACTGAGGCATAAAAGACAGACAGACAGACAGACAGACAGACAGACAGACAGACAGACAGACAGGCAGGCAGGCAGGCAGGCAGGCAGGCAGACAGACAGACAGACAGACAGACAGACAGACAGAAGCCTGACAGCCGAGGACTTGTCCAGAATAACAATGAGTGAGATGGAAATGTGTACTGTGGAATAAAACACAACACACATGTATAAAACAAACACGTCTGAGCAAGACGCCCAAAAGTAGACTGAAATCAGCGCCCCTATAAAACCTTAACCGCTAATAGTGTTGGCAATTTCACCCGATCCCTCTGAGGGTACACTCTAAATTCATGAAAGAAGAGAAGAAAGGGAAAAAAATGTCCTCAAAGTCAGATTCATTTGAATATATGAATAATTTAGTGCAACCAAAGATTTCAGGCCCTTAAACTGCAAATACAAAAAAGCTCTTAATCTTCAGACATTCATAATTCATATGTACCATGGCTCAGACATGGAGATATTTGATGCACACGTTTGCCATAAAAGGTATAGAAGATGTAAGGTCTAAAGCTTTCACACTGTGCAAAATCACTGCATGGGTTTGTTTCTTTTCACAATTCAGTAAATCAGTGCATATTTCTCTCTCTGTATTCCTACTATTCACTTTGAATACTCTACGCAGACCCCAAAAGAACACGATTAAACTTTCATCACATCTTTATGGTTTACACCACATGCTGTGATATCCTATGAAGTGTCTGCTTATAGATTGACTTGTCTCTGCAGGTGTGTGTTGTGTTTTCACAGTTTGAGCATCATAATTATTCCACCATCATAAGAAGCAGACAATAAGAGCGCTCCCACTTGACATAACATGCCCCCTGCCCTCTTTCTTTTCCAAGCTCATTTTTCTTTTTTTGCCCCTGGCTCATTACAGTGATGCGCCTTTTCATTGAGAAGATTGGCACCAAATGTCCCCATCATATTCCCCAACAAAAGCTCCTTTGATCCGCATGAGGGTCATTTAAATAAAGCGTTATTAGCACAAAGACGGTGAGACATGTGACCTCCACGCAGCAGGCGAAGAGGATAAGAGGAAACTTGAGAATAACTAGTAATCATATTTGATGTTGTTTGTTGGTGTTTGTCATGAGTTTTGAAACTCTTCCCCTCTACATATGAAATGTTTTGCAGTGTTTTCCTCACTGATGCCCCTGCAGCTTGCCACAGATGATTTGGCCTCTAAAGTTCTGTTGTCTCATGATCTTATGGAAGCTTGGATACGAACGTGATGATTACCAGTAGAGATGTCCCGATCAGATCACGTGATCGGGGATCGGAGCCGATCACGTGATTTTCAAAAGATCGGAATCGGGAGAAAAAAATCGGGGATCGGGATTTAAAAAAAAAATTTTTTTTATAAATACTTTTTTTAAATTTTGTATTCAATGTTACAAAACAAAAATGACCATGTTCAAGTCTTAAAGTCATCCTGAGGCCTTAGTTTTGGTTTCAAATTACACAACATCATGTATGTGTTGCTTCTTTGGGGCTTGTTTTCATAGACCTGGTTGCTTATTTCTCTCAAATCTGGCAACAGAGTGGGCGCAGTGTCTAATTGTAGCAGTAAGCTAACGAGTACTGATAAGCTTTATTTTGTTTTGATCCAATGCTGCACAACTGAACTGATCCAATGCTGCTGTGAAAGAAAGAAGCTATATCCATGTTGGATAGAATATCCAATTTAAATAAAAAAATAACCTTAAGGGACAACTTGAATGCTTTTATTCCTTTTTTTTCTCTTAATGCATGCATTAAAGATCGGATCGGGAAAAATCGGTATCGGCAAATTGTCGGTTTCCGTGTGCAGAGACAGGGCTGCTGTGAACGTCGGTCTGTA